ATCCCTTGAAATAAAATCTTCATCTGCAAAATGCAAAGATTTTTTGTCCACCATAGGATGTCCATTACTGTTGTCAGCGTGAATGAGGCCTGACATCCCGCTACGACAAGCAAGCGTTGCACTGGTTTTGGCAACCTGAGTCCCTTTCTATGACCACTACGTGGATGTTTTAGTAAACTAACTTGGTAACATTTGATGTAATACTATTTAATAAAACCGAGAAATTAAATTGCAGATATCTATTTGTTTTTTAATACTTTTCAAAATCTTGGGCTGGTTGTTCTGTCTTTTTTTCAATTATTTAGCCGTAAGCAGTAAAATTATAGAGTTCTGAAAGGCACGTTTTGCGGATATGTCCCCCAACCTCGTTTTTTCTTTTGTTTATTTTTTTGAGTATCGTTGTTTTCTTCTAGGATTAAAAGGGACGAGAACCCTACGTGTCTACGAAGTTCATAAAGACGTCACAAAAATCTATTTTTAGAATATTTTAGTTTGGATCCCATAACCTGAAAGGGCATCATGAAATACCTCTAAATGCGCAAAATCAGGCAAGTGTGTTACGAATTGGCAGAGATATGGCCACATGTCTATGAGCCAAAATAACAGTGATTCGTTAGCAAACTTCAAATCTTTCATTAGCCATATCTCTGCCAATTCGTACCGATTTTAGACATATTTGGCCAATTTTGCGTAATTGAAAGTATTTCATGGTGATCTTTTACGCTATGTGGTTTAAATTCAAAAATTCTAAAAATAGGTTTTTGATGACGTCACACTTTAGAACTCTATTGTGCTCAAGGGGAGAGTTCAGGCCTCATTTGCCAACAAAGTGAGTGAGCCATTTTTATTTGCCAACAAGTTTTAAAATTCGCCGAAAGAACACCCAAAGCTGGAACTTTCTAACTGGGTTTCACAACTTTGTTTGAATTAGATTTTACACACCTCATCAGCCTCATTTTGTTCTTAATAAGGCTGATCTCATGCGTTTCATGTATGTTTAACTTCTTCTTTGCTGGCATCAGTTTGAAAATGAAAAGTTTTCCGTCACGTTATTTTCTTTTGTCCGTTTTCAACCTTATTTGATCCAAGGTACAATTTTTTCATAACAACAAATCACGAGACACCCTACCAAAAGACAATGTTAAAAAATGAAACTCTGTCGCCTACACTCACAATAAATATTTGTTCTCATCGAAGTGTCTTGAATAAGACTTTATTCACTCAGTGTGAGATATGGGCCTTTTTAGATGAAAACAGAGTCGATTTCCTGGCAGGAATGGAAGAAAGGCGCCATTTTTTCATTTTTTCAATTTTTCAGACCAATTAGTTGAATTTGGATAATTTTCCAAGGCACACCCGACAATAACTCATGGCAGTGACCACACACTAGTGTGCCGCGGTGCAGTGGTTGAAAAACGCTGCTTTGTAGCAACAGGGAACGCCAATTTTATTAGTAGGACACGCTCATGACCAGCATTCGGTTAGTAGGAAGCTTAAAATCATAGAATCACACCACAAATAATACTTTGACAAAATTTTACCGCCCTTCTCATTCTTAAGATTTTCTCTTCTAACTTAGACGAAATACACGAAAGCTTTGGGGGGGGGGCGTGTCTCCCAATGCTCCCATAGCGCTGCCATTGCTTCTAAGAATGAGATGAGAGAATTGTTATAATGCGTTATAATACATTTTTTTCTATTCTTCTTTAAAGATGTATGTTTCTATTTGTATAACAATCAACCTATGATTTAACATATCCTACTGTATCCTTGGATTGCATTACCCTGGGCACCAGACTCATATTATATTTTATGTATAGTGAGTCTGGTACCCAGGGTAGGATTACATATACCCGGGGGGGGCTTATTTATTTTTTTCAGTCCTAGAGGGGGGACTTAAAAGAGAAAGGGGCTTATTAGAGAGGGGGTATCATTGATAATTCAATGTAAAAAATGTTATAAAAATGCTGTTATTCATTTTTTGTTAGGAAAATGTCACCTGCATTGCAGGACATCACATGACGATTGCATCATAATTTGTCACGTGTGTTCATTTTTATTACGTAATTATTATTTTAGGTGCTGGTATTAGCTTGCAGAACCGTGTTTGCCATTACATGGCCATCGTTAGCTGTTTAAGATAGTTTTAGTCGTTTGCCGTGAACTGATGAATTAGAAGAAGTGTAAAACATTAGAGAATTGGAGAACAGTTTTTGCCTTATTTATTGTGTACGTTTCAGAGAACGATCTACAAACTCACGTCTGTAAAACCCCCTTTTTAAGTGGTTTTACGCATCTTCTTAACAAATCTAGACCGTCCTCTAAGGCGCACAAGTACTTGAAAGCTAGGGGTCTGGAGCACAGGCTAGTATCAATGAGGTGTATAGAATACGCGTAGAATGCACATTTACATGGGCCAAACTTAATGCACAATATCTTATCGTCATCACACTCATCAAGAGACCTATTTAATGCACATGTTTTCTTTATTTTATATCAGTGGCTCAAGAGGGGGCCTAATAAAGAGGGGGCTTCTTTTAAATTTTGCTTGATAAGGAGGGGCTTAATAGAGCGGGGGGCTTAAAAGAGAGGGGAGCTTAATAGAGCTTTTACGGTATTTGTGTTTGCTGGCTTAAACTTTCTTCAATTGGACTGTTATTTAATTTTGTGATAAAAAAATTCAGTTCTTGAATTTTTCATCATAATGTATTGCATTTCAATTCTCCCTTAAGAATGTACAGGCAAGATTGGGACATTGTTCAATTTTAAAAGATGCAAATTTATTTCTAAATAGAAGATGATCCTGAATTGGTTCCCTCTCCACTAGCCCCTTGCCCCGGCTTTTAGAAAATGTCCCTTTTCTAGGATTTAATCTCTTTAAGGTTTTTTGGAAAAGTGTCCCTTTTTCTTAGCCACAGTGTCCGCCCCTTCTAATATGTGCCCCTCCGACGTCCCTTAGTATTATATACAGTACTCTTTCAGAGACAATAACACCTTTTATTTAGAGCGAATCATCTAGAAGCATCGTGGCTTTAGTTTTTAGCTTCACTGCCAATACAAAAATAGGCTTGTCTGTTTGGGTGTGGTTGATTGAGGTTTTGAATTTATTATTTCTTTTTAATTGATGCCCAACAGTATTATTTATCTGAAGAAGCGTTTAAAACATAAAACTATTCTCCATCTTCGACACCCTACGAAAGTAAAAGTCTCTCCGAAAATCGTAATATTATTTGTGATTCCTCCCCGAACAAACTGCACTGATCTCTTCCAAGATAACGATAAGGCGCATGTCCCCTCTGACCCAGTATCAACAATGCCCCTGAAAGCTGAAAATTACGACGATCTGCTTTTGAAAATATTTAAGGAATCAGGCATTCGCTTCACTGCTGGTGACAGGAGTAACATTTTGTATAAATACCAAAATGCCTACTATTACAGCAAAAGGTTATAGCCCAGTGTTACTCCTGGCCTGGTTTTGTCGCTGGCTCATATTAACTTTATCTCAGTATATCATCTCAAATTATTTTCTGCGTTCACTAATTTGTGATAGCTTATCGTGGAAAAGGAGATCATGGTGACGAGAAGTCGGGGGAAGATTTAGTCACTTGTAAAACTTTTCCCCAACCAATTTACAGAATTATTCGCTTTTACTGGATTAATATGTCAAGCATGCAATAGAATTGAAATTCACCTATTCGGTTTAACAACAGAAATTTAATTAAACCTAGTCAACAACAAAAGTTTTAAGGGCCAAAAGGGTCTTAAAAAATCAGGGGAAAATGCTACTTGCGAAAAAATAAATTGAGAAAAATTAAATGCGGAAAAAATTTTGTCACTTGCAATATATTTATTCATTTTTCTCCAATTTTTTCCGTGATAAGATAAAGCCCACCCAAATAGGGAAAAGCGGTTACTTGGAGGGCAGACGCTGAAAACTCTCTTTTGTTATCTTTCAGTAAAGCAAATAAATAGAGGCTCATACGGAATGGCAGATGAAGACAATGAGAAAATGAACTACGAAGAAGAATATATACCATCAACAGAAATTCCAAGACCCGGTTTGTCAGTCTTGACATGTGCACTATTCATAGTTGGTGAGATGGCAGGAAGTGGAGTTTTAGCCTTGCCGAAAGCATTGGAAAATGGCGGCTGGTCAGCAGTTGTTTTGCTAGTCGTCTGCTGTTTTGTCTCCCTGTATTGTGGCATTATGCTGAGCAGATGCTGGACCATTCTGCGTAACAAGAAGGAAATTTACCAGTCCTACTCACGTGACCCTTACCCATCCATTGGTTATGAGTGTTATGGAAGAGTTGGACGTGGCATTGTGGAAACTTGCCTGCTCATCACACTGTTTGGTGTTTGTGTTGTTTTTCTTTTACTGGCAGCACAGAATGTAGCAAGTTTGGTCGACAGAAAAATTGGTGTCTTTACAACAGAAAAAGAAGAGGCAAGGGCATGGTTGCTTATAATAAGTAGCATCCTGCTTCCTTTTACGTTCCTTGGAACGCCAAAGGACATGTGGCCTTTTGCTCTGATGGCAACGATCAGTACATCGGTTGCTTGTCTCTTGATCATAGTCAAATCGTTATGGGACTGGCCTACAGATATCAGTCAAGTTACAACTACTGACGTCACTGTAGAGTCATTTTTCACTTCGTTTGGTACCATAGCTTTTTCTTTCGGAGGGGCTACTTTGTTCCCGTCTTTTCAAGCCGATATGAAGGAACCGAAGAAGTTTCCCAAGGCAGCAATGTCCGCCTTTCTGGTTGTCCTTTTGATGTATGCACCAACTTGCATTCTTTCGTTTGTGGTTTATGGTTCATCATTGCAATCCAATGTTCTGCAGACCATCAAAAACCATGGTGATACTGGTGCCATCAAGAATCTTGGAACTGCTGCTGAAGTTTTAATCACAGGCCATCTCTTATTTTCCTTTGTTATCACTCTGAACCCAATCTCTCAACAAGTTGAAGAATACCTCAAATGGCCACACAGTAAGTATTGTGTCATGCGCTTTTCGATATTCAAACCTTCTATTGTGTCACTTGCAAAAAGGGTAATGAACTGAAATTAAAGAAACACGAACCCATCCATGTTTATTTCCAATTTTATCTAGATAATACTCATATTACATCTGCTTGAAAACACTGCCCTTGTTCAACAAGATGGGATGCAGTTTTTCTAAAGTGAAGTGAAGAAATTCCGTCAAAAACAGTTAATCAAAAACTTCACTGTTTATCATTTGCAGAATCGTTTGCTGGATGAAAATAAAAAACCAATATGTGCCTATACCAGAGCTAAAATAAGTTTTTTAAAAATGTCGAAGGGTTGAATGTCGAATTTTGTCGAATTTTGGACAAAGATGGGATGTGAGACACTTTTAAGCATGTGAGGTACAAAGGACTTTAGTTGAATTCTATCATGTTTGTGCTATGTACGAGCATGTGTTAAACCGTTCAAATTTGTTGTTGTTTCTTAAATGGCTAATAAAGGCTCACAATTCAGGGTACACGAACAAATAAAGCAACAATTTTGCAGCAACGAAGAAAGTTCTAGAATCCTCTGCATATCCACCCCATAATCGAAGAAAAGCTGAAAATAAAAACAAGCATGTTAACTTATCTGTTTTTGCAATTCTCTCAACAAAGCTGAAATTTAAACATGATTCAAGACAGTTTTTAGATTGTCACAATATGCCAGAATGGAAGTATTTTGCTTAACTTTAATTTTTATTGTCCTTAAGTGATGAACGTCTTGAGACAATTTTCGAAATTGATTGTTTTTTATGAAAAAGCAATGCAAATATTTGTTTTAACGGAAATTGTTTTGAAAATTCCCAATAAAGAATTTGATGCAAACCCTTCTTTTTTCTTTCTTTCCAGAATTCGGATTCAAAAGGTGTTTCATTCGATCATTGCTCCTCCTATTGGTTCTTGGTGTCGCAGAGGCTATACCAAAATTTGGTGTTATATTGTCCCTGATTGGTGGTTCAACTGTCACAATGATGGCTTTTATACTACCTTGCGTATTCTACTTAAAACTGAACCAGCGCACACCATTTTACATCAAAGTACTTCACGCAGAGATTATCGCGGTAGCGCTGGTTAGCGGTGGTGCTGCAACATATTCTGCCATTATTAGTATCAAAAACACTTTCGTAAATTGAAATCTATAAACCTATGAGACAAGCGTAGTTACTAGAAACATAGAAATCGTTACGATCCCTAAAATTACATCACAACGAATAGCAAATGGTATCTGGCTATCAACACAAAATATACTTAGCCCACACACCATACATTTCTTTTTCAACTGTCGTTCACGGGATTTTAGGGCGAGGTTGTTAGCTTTATTTTTTGTGCAGCGAGCAAATTCAAAGTGATGCTGTTGGCTAGTATAGTTTTTTACAAGAATGGTACCTTTGGCGAGACCAATCTCTACCAAAAACTTTCCATTTACTTGTTTATTTTCAACAAAAAAGGGTTGCCAGGATGAATTTCTTGCATTTATAAGAGCCAAATATTATTAAAGCAACGATATTGTCAAATATGTTATCCTTGGCTGGACCAAAATTGCAAAAACGTATACCTTTGCCTGCTGCACATCCTCAGGTACTTTTACTATAGACGAACCCTCTCTCCTCCGTCCTGTCGTTGTTGTCATTGTCGCAGACTTATAAGGTCGTACCACCGGGTAATTCGGACTTGTACTTAGTCGAACAGAATCTAATTTACCATTAGATTCGTCTACCTGAGTCAAATCGAGAGCCGTGTCCGGTATGTGTCGGAGATTCGCCATGTCCGACAATTACCTTGACCCCTTAAAGATCCGACTTAACTGGATTCAATTTTATTTTGACCACATATTCAAAAAGAGTATCTTAGAATACCGCCAACATTGCGAAACCAGTTAAATGTGTTTCAGATCGGCTGAGATTTGGCCACACAAGTATAGGCTCTTCCCCCAACGAATCAGTGTAATATGGTCTCTGTTCATAACTTTTGAACTAAGCCCAAATGATAGTTATCTTTAAGCAAATTTTAAAATGTTGATTGGTAGTATCACACTTGTTTTTGAAATGTTTAACTGATTTAACATGCATATTTAGTAGTAGTTCATGATGTTATTTTATACTAAGAGGTCAAAAGACATAGTTCTAAAAACATTTTATGACGTCACACTTCAACTCTATTGCTAAGAAGCTTAAGTACTCAAATTTGCTGACGTCAGAGGGTAGGAAGAGGTCCAGCTTTGGGTCTTACGGTGATTTTTTGTGTGTTTATAATAATTGCTATCAATAAATTTTTGACACTAAATTTTATGAAACTAGAAACACTTATCAATTAACATCTCTTAAAATGATTTTTATGCGTTAATCGGTCAAACTAAAATTGAGCAAAATTACCTTGTAAATTAATAGCCCTCTCAACCAGTCCCTAGCAATTCTTTAATGCCCCCGACCTCCCCCCCCCCAAGTCTGTGTCTATGGTTATTGTCTTGATTTCATCAAATCTTTTAAAAGAGACCTTGCCTAGGTAAGATCCTCAAATACAGTTATGTTTGCGTAAATTGAGCTTTTTTCTTAATTCTTGTTAAGTTTGATTCATTTATATAGAGAACCTAAAGCATCTTTTAGTTATTTTTCGTATCATGATCTTGTTGTTTGTATTGACTTCAGTAAACTGTTTAGAAGGCAAAATATTTGTTGTATCCAGATATTTCTGCGAAAAAAACTAGGACCACAATGATGATTACACTTGCCTCCTTGAAAGTATGAATTGTCAGTGCAATAGCCACCTTCCCGTGGCACATTCAACTAAAAATCTTTGAATTAATTCAGTAAAACTAAACTTTTTTATTGCATTCAAATTCCTTTACAGTTATGTCAATGTGTTGGCACACTTCTTTTGTTGCTATCAGTACCCTGCGCAAAACCAGGGCGACTTTCATTTTCTGTGCTGTTGCTCGATAAAGAAAAAGCACAATCAAACCATTTTTCTGGACCCAATGACGGGTGCTGTGCTGTGCTGTGCTGTGATTAACCATACACAGCCCCCTTCAAATAGATGCCTCTAAAAACTTTTGAGATTGATAGAATTCTAGCGTCTTCTGAGTACTTGGCATTTTTCAGAAGGGGTCTATATCCTAACTTATTGCGCATATCAAATTGTGTTTCACTAATTTTTATTCTTTATCACAATTTGCACGATTTTTATCTCATCAACCCATCTATGTGGACAGTGTTTTGACAATTATTTTACAGTGCTTGTCTCCCTCGCTTGATCTTGTTATTTGCTGGAAGGCATTAGCAATGCACCTATATGTACGAGTATGCAGTCGTACTGTAGGTTTATGAGTTGTGGCTTTGGTAGAAAAGAACCAGCGTGTAGCTGTTTGTTCGCTGTTAATGTAGAAAGTGCTGGCGGAAGAAGTTATGTTCCGTTCGAATCGTATTGTCTCTTTCTAAAGTCAAGCTATTTTTTACAATTATCAAGTGCTAATCCTGTTATTTAAGTAAAGAATAGCTCTTTCTACTCGCGCTTAAGACCGTATTGAAGAACAGAATCTCGAAAATTTTAGGTTGGGAGATGAAGAGGACAAATAAGAAGAAGATTAAGAAGAGAAAGGAGAAGAAGTAGAAAAATTAGTTGAAGAAGAAGGAGGAAGAGGAAAAAAGCGAGAAGAAGGAAAAAGATGGGGCAAGAAGAGCAAGAAACAAAAGAAGAAGGATGAGAAGGTGCAGATGAAGGACAACAGAAATAGAGAAGTAAGAAGATGGAAGGGAAGAAAAACAGAAAAGAGAAAAGAAAAAAGAAGAAGAATTAGAAGAAGAAGAAGGAATAAGACGATGACGAAAAGGAAGAAGAACGAAGCTGTGGTAAACAACTTACTCCACGTAAGCCTGCTTGCATCCACAATCTCAGTGGAATATCTTTGATCCTGTGTTTTACGCAGATATTTTTTATACTATTTTATATATGTTAATGATATTTTGTTCTGAATTTTGTATCACAACTTCAGTGACTCTCTCCTTGAACCTGGCCTCGGGGGGTTTATAACTGGGGATGTGCCTTGCCAACAGGGCCTCATTTTGGCTGAAAATTCTGGGACAGGATTGTACATTCCGTCCCTTTTTTCCTGCAAAGGTATTGAAGATACTTTTTCCAGGACAGGTCAGATTTATCATGAAATTTAAATTGTTGTCCACTTCAATCAAGTTATTCTCTTCATACTCACATATGGAACAGGGCCTATTTAAAAAATTTTCAATACTGCACATTTTTAAGAAATTTTCAATACTGCACATTTATAATCATATTTTTTATAGGAAATTTTGTTGTTGCAATCAGTGCAAACCCCAGGTATCTTAGCCATGCAAGTGTAGCGAGGAAATTGCCTGAATTTTGAACACGTGTATAGGCCATGACGGAGAAATCACAAACAGATAGACGATAATATACACAATCAATAATAACATTTCAAAACAGCAACAAAGCAAACAGAAGCTACAAAACCTGAATATAAACATAGGCATTTATCTCTTGTAAACGGAGTCACTATCTCATGTTTTGTCTGGACAGTAAAACAAAAAAGTTTTATTAGGCTCTTTATCTTTGTTTTAGTTAAATTAAGTGAGCTTCTGCTAGATGCCCAGAACATCACAGGGCAACTGATAAATTATTACTGAATGTTTTATCTTCGACAAGGTCAAATTACGAAATTTACAGCAATGCTGACATTTACAGGAGATGTTTTGTTTTTGGTTCTGGGAATTTCGATTTGTTTTAAGTTTTGGTAAGAGAGTCTTTCCGATGGTTATACGAGAATTGCAATACATGAATTCTATATCGAACTGACGAGGAAAATTCACATTTTTTTAACAAAGCAGGAATATGGGATAGCCGCAAAAAACATTTTCACAAATCCCAAAATTCAATACTGCACATTTTGGAAATCAATACTGTACGTTTTTAAATTAATACTGCACAAAGTGTGTAATACTGCACACTAAAATAGGCCCTGATATGGAAATTAAGAAGAGGTCAGGTTATCTTTCCATATCAATTCACTAAAGCATTATCAGTAAAATTATGTTCAGGCGAACGAACCATCAGCTTCAAGGATCAGAAATTCATTCCAAGACTGGGTCATAAAATTTCCTCGTTTAGACACATCCTCGTAATTTTTCTCTAAGGTAAACCCTTGGAATCCTGGATGTTTCAGAGAGCCCCCCTATATCCATCCAAATACAATTCTTTTCAATAACAATTAAGTAACCGTTACCTGCGGCTTGTCCCCATGTGGTAACGCGCCATTTTGAATTTTTTATTTACGTTTCTTTGTTACAACATGGCGGATGCATCGTAACTGCCTGTTTAGACACAAGTATAGGTTTTGGCTTCAAGGAGATTGTTGTTTTGCTCGAATGGTTTTATAAACCAACTAGTATTTGCGGAAAAGAGGAATAGCTAATTGTACATATATAAGTACTGAATTTTCTTTATAAGTTCGTGATGTTTTCATTGTCCTAACATGGATGTTATATCGCTGTTTTGCAACGGAAAGAGTGCTGGTCAATGCATAATATGTAAATGCATTTCCATTATCGTTTATGCAAATTTAAAACGGTTTTTATTGCAACATGTTGGTGGCATACTTCTTCGGTAATTTATTCAGCTATTTTAGTTACCCGACATTAAAATTATGAAGATGAATGAAGCAAAAATCAGGATCCGCGAAGAAGAGCTTCTGAAGCTTGTGCTTGACTTCCTAAAATCCCGAAATCTATTTGTATCTATGCGTACATTGGAAAAAGAGAGCGGTGTTGTTAACAGCCCCTACACAGACGACATACTGTTCCTAAGGGAACTCATTCTTGATGGTGACTGGGACGAAGTTTTGATGTTTGCGCAGCCGTTTGATGGGTTGGCCGACTTTAATGCCAAACAGTTCAAGTATTTGATACTGAAACAGAAATTTCTCGAACTGTTATCGCTAAAGTCTCATGTTGTTGGGAGACAGGGTACAAACTCTATTGAAGAAGTCATGAAGACATTGAAATTACTGGAGGAGACCTGCCCCTCAAAAGAAGAATACAGCAATCTGTGTTGGTTGCTTACTGTGCCAAATTTGAGTGAGAGGAGTGAGTTCAAGGACTGGACCCTAGACAATTCACGACTAAAATGCTTCAATGCTGTTTTAGAGGTAATAGGCAAGGTTTTAAGACCACATAAAAGAGCCAAAAAACAAAACAGCATGGCAAGTAAAGACAGACTTCTGCAGCTTATTGTTAAAGGGTTGTTTTATGAGACATCTATAGAATATTGTCAAGGAAAAGCAACTTCTCCCAATTTCAATGGCTCAAGTGAGTTGTCTGTAAGAACAAATTTATTACAGGGAATAGCAGATGATTACTCTGCCAATCTGCTTTCATGGATCAAAAGTTTAAAAAATGATGTATTTACTCAACCATTTGAACAAGTTTCAGTTGAGATTGTACTTGAAAAGAGTTCCAAAGCTGAGAAGAACTTGAGGCACAGTATTGATGTTCCTAAAAAGACAAAAAATGATGAAGATATAGTTTTCAGAAGTTTGGTCAGTCTTGACTTAGAAAATAGGCAGAATGGGGTGTCAAAGTTATTAAGGCAGTCCCCTTCTACCTCTACTCATTTTCCACAATATCCAAGCAGTGGTCTCCAACTTCAAAGGAAAGTAGATTACCAAAATAAAACTGATAAGACAACATCCGATAAGGATGTGACTGAAAAAACTGAACCAGATCTTATGTTTGTGTTACAAGGTTCTAAGAATGTTCCAGATAATCAGCCTAGAAACGGTAGTAAAGAGTTTTGTTTTTCACAAAGAGACAAAAATAAAGAAATTGGTGGTAGTCAAGAGCAAGATGCTGCCTTTGGGAAGAAATTTGATGCTATTTCAATGATGAAAAATGAAACTGATCTTTTGAAAAATAGCATCTTAAGCAAAGAAAGGACACTGTCAGTTGAAAAAGCTGTTGAAGAAGAATCTTTTAAAAGGACTCAAGAATCAACAGAGGATGACCTCCACAAAAAGGAAGAGAAGAAAAGAAGAGAATCTGTAATGAAGAAACTTGAGGAATATGAAAACAGGAAGAAGAAAATGCAGATGCAACTAGAACAAATGAGTCAAGGTCTCACGAAAAGTGATGCAGTTTTTGATGGTAAAGAGACCAATATTTATATCTGCATATATAAAAGGCCTGGCCATTTGACAAGAGCCTTAGCTCTTGCTCCCCTCCAGGCTCTCCTCAAATGCTGGAAGGGAGCTACTGATTATTCTCCTAAATTTCTCTAAAAACCAAATTGCTCTCCTTGAAATCAATATTTCTTTTTTACTTTTCTTATTTATCTACAAACAGCTAGCTAGAAATTAGTAGGAGAGCTGTTTACAACTCCCCTGCTAAAAGTCTTATGGCCAGGCCTAATAAAAGTATTTTACAAACAAAGTTTGCCTTTGTGAACAGAAAGTTATCTTTTTTGGACGCTCTATTATGCTGAAACCAAGCAAAACCATTGATAGGAGCTCATATTTATTATTTGAAGATAGAGTAATTCGAGTGCAAAACCAACATTTGAAAGTAAATATGGCAGAATTTCTGTAGGATTTCAGTCTTTATTCTCTGAGGTTAGCTTTTATAAAAGAATATTGTCTCATTTCACTCGATTTTCTTCCATGCTGAATACCAGAAAGTCAACCTTATAGAGCAAAATTAAAATAGATAAAACAAAATTAATTACTAAGCTTATTTGAATCAGTTTATAAATGTTTTTACATTTTTACATCACAATGTTTTTACAAAAATCTGCTGATTCGTGATTTTCTTGTTGCAATGATATTGGTGGACCTGTAACTGGTCACATGAACTCACCTCATACTGATTAACAAAATAGTTCCCATCAATATCAAGTTGTCAATAACAGATGCGGATGTTACATGAAACTACAGCGATTGTGCTGGAACCAAATGTCCCCTTAAAGAGAAGTCCTATTTACCATGACTCATGCCTTTAAGGGGGCAGCTATTGCAAAATGTTTAATATTAAGAAGGAGTGCAAGTATGCCATTTTGCTCTTTCTTTATGACCTTTGATGCTTATAACTTAGGGCCTTCTTGTGTGTTTCTTTGACAGCACAAGGCCTGAATTTCTTTTGCATCATTGCAAGAACAGGCTTCATTTGACTAAAAATGTGTAAAGGGCTTTATTTTGAAAAAGTATCCCACTTTTCAATTTTAATAAAAGCCTGGCTAATTATCTAAATTGATTTGGCAATACCTTTTTCTTTTTTTGTATACACTATCAATAGAAACTTTATACATGTACAAATTTGTTTTTATTTGCTTTTAGAAAAGGGACCTGAAGCCCCACCTGTTGTCAAAGCAGAAGATCCATTACAAGAAAAAGAATTGTCTTTGCACCGACATTATGTTGCTGCAAAAGACTTTGTCACAGACTACAATACTGCTGTCAAAGAAGAAAAACCAGAATCTTCCATGAAAAAACTTTCAGGTGAAGAGGTTACTGATGAAACATATAAGACTAAAGATATTTTGCAGAAACCACTACTTCAGTCAAGAAATGATAAGCAGTTAATTGTAAAGGTGGAAAGTAATTCACAAAACAATGTCAAGTCCCCAGAAGAGGAGAAAATCAAGCCAGCTACCATTGAATCTAAAACACCAAAAAATATTGGGTATGTTGTCAGCCTTTCGGATGGATCTGGAAAAATAAGCACAAGGTTTGTAGTCTGAGTCATTCATGATTTAAAGCTTTCTGATTAAGGTAGCAGAAAAGTTATGACAATAAAGGCATTGCCAATAAAGATTGTTTTCAGTTGCAAAAATTGTTTTAGTTATGGTAGAATGTGGTGCATTTCATACATATTTTGACCAAACTTTACAGCCATTAGTAATCTATAATCACTTGCAGATAATATTAATTTAACCTTTTATTTTTGGAAATTTAGTGGTCAGCCAGGGGGTATAAATGCGGAGAGTTAACAGTTTGTTTTTATAAGCTCTTTTACCTATTTAGTGAAAACATTTCTGAAACTAATTTCTAATTCCAGTGTAAGATGAGGATAAGATGAGATCAACAGTTCAGCTGATTGATATCTTTTTATCCAAGTAAAAAGTTATTATAAGATGCAATAACCAAGATAGCTAAGTACATTACAAATTTCAAGCTACCCGTTTAAATTAGCAGAGATACTCAGTGCCATTGGAGCGAAATTCGTATTGGGGGGAGGGCTGCCCATTGTATTCCTTCTCAGTCAGTACGCTGTTATAAAGGAAATATACTACAGTTTGACAGTTATTGGGGGGGGGCCTTAATGCAATAATAAATTTCTAAATTGAATATAGTTGCTAGGGTCTACGGACCCTTAATAGCCAACAAGCCAAGGGACCTCTTCAAAATTAACAAAATGTTAGCGAGGCTCCAGGACTCATTTATATTGTCTTAGAATGATCATATTATCACAGAAGGTTTAACTCAAGTTTCTTAAAGCCTTTAGTTTTAAATTAGTTCTCAAAGCTCTGTTATTTTGCAGTACACCAAAGGCAAAGAAACGCAGCAAAACAGAGACACCCCCACTTGGGGCATCTCCAGTGAAGCCATTAGTTACTGGCCATAACACACCAAAAGCCGTACCAAAAAAGAGCATTCGCACAGATACCAATCAATCTCGTCTGATGAAAGATATGCCTGGAGATGAGCATGAAGCTGGTCAAATAGCTGTCAAAGAAGCCCATATGGAAGGAGATGTTTCTTTCGAGGTATGTTTAAAAGTCATTGGTTTGCAAACTTTTGTGGATTATGTCTGTTTCTGTCAGTCCAAAAGAGTTATGGCATTTAAGCTGAGCTTGTTTCAAAACAAACAATTTTATCAGCACATCAAATGATTTTTTTGCAGGTGACACTTGGTAAGAAATTAGAAACTACCATGTTGTTTGTATCTCTTTCAATGTGGTTGATAGATGAATGGGGTTGATAGATGAGTTTGAAAAGTACTTTTGTCTATTGCCTGCCAAAAACTCCAAGCCAAAATAGCATTTTAAGTGTGAAAATTGAATGAATTGAGGAAAGAAGAAATTACCATTTTTAGCTATTTTGCTGTAAAGTTTAGTAATTTAGTGAATCATAAAGTTCTGAAAATCACGCTACCATTTTATCTGAACCAAAGTTTTGCTGGTACAGAATTAAGAGCTTACTTTAAAAAACATTCAAAAACATACTGAAGCTTTTCGTCTTACAATCTTTAGAGGATAAAACATCAGAATATTGATCGAAAAATTCTAAGCTAGGAACTTTATGTTCCCAGTTGTTGATCGAAGTAGGCCAATCAGATCCTCGAGAAAACGACTATAGAGGTTGCTAAATCAGTGCTGAATCAATCTATCAATTTATAAGTCGGTCGAAAAGCAAGTATGTTTTAAGATGTTTGTTTTTTCGAAGCCATAGATAGAAATTATCCAAACCTATTTCAAAACACCAAGGTGGCACGGAAAGACGGGAAAGCGAATAATTTTGAATATTCTCAACACATTGGTAAAAGAGGATGCAGGGACCTGACATATTCGCAAAGCTGCTCCAGTAAATCGAAGGTGTAATAATGGCTAACTATTTTGCAAATTTGGTTCCCTTTTGGCCTAATAATTGTCCACAATGCGCATTAATGAGTTGTCATTTAACAGCTCAGGTTGGCACCAGGAGACCAGTTACCTACTGCAAGACCTCAAAACGTCTTTTTATACCAATAAACATGTCTTAGAAACCGCCTGTAGGAAACCGATCTCTATATATGACCCCCCGTTTACACTGTGTCGGACATCTCGATGATGCAAGATAAATACAGTCACGTGACCTAAATCATGCACAGAACGCCCAAAACGAAGCCATTTCTGTACAGAATTTCGAGCGGCGAAACAGAAGTTAGGAGCGGAGAAGCGGATGTGGCTCTGGCACCCAGGGTACTCTTTCAGACGAAGTCCGAAGATATTGTCAAAACAAATGATGCAAAATTAGTTTTAATAATTCATTATTTGAAACAAAATGACGCTGAAATAGCGAAAAAGTAACGAAAGGCTGACAAGGATGCCAATTTTACGTGGACTGACAAAGACACTGTACTTGTAGCACGTGTATTTATCGACAACAAGGCAGCCAAGATGGCGAAAGGTCTTGATTTGGAGACAGTGAAAACTGAATGGGATGAAATTGCCAATCGCTTTCGAACAAAATACGATGTGATAAATTTATCCGTTTACAATGTACCATATAGCTATCCGATCTAATTTAATCCACTTTCCTAGATGAACTAATTTTGTTCGGATAGCCGCTTTCGAATTCGTGCAGGTAGCATGGGTCTAGTGTAAACGCGACGCCTGGCTGAACTAATTTTGATGCGGATGACATTTGTCCGGCACAGTGTAAACGGGGTCTATGATGACCAGAAAATTGAGAAGCCATAGTACTGACGATCCTCTACCTTGAGAAACTACTTGAAAATACTACTTTGCATGTGGGATGGAAATAGTCTTCTTAAGACGATTAGGTATAATTTCTGGTTCAACCATAGTCTATGGTTCAACTGATGTGGATAAAAAGAAGAAAACCTTGCGACTAAGGGGTTCTGTTTTCTTTTCGCTATGTTGCCTTTATGTATGCTATTTTTCTTCCTAAAAAGAAGCTATTTAAAATGCGTGTATGGCCGGGAGACCTTTTTTACTGCTGGACCTCATGATGTTGTTTTTGTGCCAATATAAATTGATAACTTATAAATTTGCTCACCGCAATATCACAAACCTAGAGAGTAAAACGCCAGAAATACACTGTGTTTATAGCCCAGAAACTTTGATACAACTAAATAAACGAAGCATACTAGGCCCTAACCTAACCTAAAGCCTTACGACAGACTTACGAAAGAGTGACAGAGTTTCGTTCAAATAGTTTCTTGTGTCTCCATCTAACTGACTCAACTTAAACTTCTACTTGTATATATGTACAAATGGAGTCTAAAATTAGCGATACACGACGATTATGGTAACTAGCCGATAACAAGTAAAAGGAAGGGCTAGGTAGAAGGGAAAGGGCTGTGCACCACAATAGAAAAAACTGTTTTTGGAAAATTCTAGGTTTTGCCTTGGGATGTCTAGGTGAAGGCAATTTCTTGTTTAATAGTTAGATATTTGGGATCTAGTGACAAGTCTTCCTTTCAGATTGACGGAAAGGGCAAGAAATTTCTTGTTGAATAGTTAGATATTTGAGATCTAGTGACAAGTCTTCTTTCAGATTGTCGGGGCAGAGACCATTTATTATTTTGTAAATCATAACTGCCCTGTAAAATTTTATCAAATTTGAGACCGAAAGCCAATTGCAGCTCCACCCGTCCTTTATCTTGAGCCTTCTATTAGCGTGCGCGCTCTGTTTTCTAAACGCTGAAGATGATCGAGCTTTGTGTTTGACAATTTGCCCCATAGTTCATCACTGTATCTCAAATTACTCTGAAGCAGTGCCTTATAGACCTGATCCAGTTTCGATTGCAGGAGTATTTTATTTAGTATCCACAGGGAAGAGAGAGCAATTTTTTATTTTTCCTTTAAGGTTTTTTATTGCTCATTCCATATCAAGTTTTCGTCGACGGTAATTCCAAAGCATTTCACCTTTTGAGCTCGTTTGATTGGCTCTCCATTTACATTTACTTCTAGTGGACCAAGGATACGGTTGGTTTGTCGTTTATGACCAATAACATTATATTCTGTTTTATCAGCATTCAAACTAAGCTTATTCTGACGTAACCACGCTGCAATATTGTCGATATCAGCTTTTAGATCATTACAGAGATCGTAAATATCTTCGAAAGAACAGGTGACACTGGTATCGTCCACATGCATGTTTGAGGTGCATTTTTTGAGGCACTGCTTGATCGTGCCCAAACTTTTCCAGTAACCTCGAGAATACAGATAGCACGGATACAGGCCTATAATTACCCATTTCACTTTAAGAACCAGACTTGAAAATAAAGGTTACCCTCGCTATTTTCCATGTATCTGGAAAAATACCGTTTTTGAATGAGGAGTTGAATATAGCAGCTAGTGGCTTGCATAAAATTTCTGCTGCGTCTTTCACAAACTGAACTAAAATCTTATCAAAGCCCGCAGATTTATTGCATTTCAATTTTTTTTATTTTAATCTGAAGGTCTGAAAATCTGAAGGTCTGGTTGAAATTCAAAATATGGGGCTGTGGATGCATCTTCATCAGCGAAGTATTTTAGTGGATTATCAAATTCTTTAGTTGTGATTTTTTTGCAAGTTTAGGGCCTATCTGCAATCCCCTTCTGCTTTTCAATTAGTTGACCCTCATACATGAAGGATCTGGGAGTCGTGGAGCACTGACTTTGTTTAAAACTTTGTCAATCGTTTCCCAATTCTTCTTGGAGCTATTGGAATTTTCATCAATCAAATTGCAGTAGTAGCTTTCGACAGCTCTTCGGAGTTCAGTGGTCACCCTGCTAACATGAGACAATGCTATGACGCGGGACATATAACGTACGAACGAGAGGTATGCCACAGCTAATGATATGCAACAAGGAACATAGAGAAAATCCTAACAATGAATGGGCTAAGGGGTATCTAACAAAATGGCGTATCTATACTTGTGACAGCAACTATTTGATGTAATATTTTCACCGCGAGGCGATGCGAGATACGAAGTCCATAATGCCGTGCCATGCTATCAGTTGCAGGTTAAGGGGGGTCCAAGGGGGCCAGGATCCCCAGGCCCTGCATTTGTGGTAGCCGGAAGGGGCCCCGCATCTAAGAAAAAATTAAAATTGTAGGGAACAGGGGCCCTGCAAATATTTTCGGCTCCAAGCCCCGCAGTTCCTAAAACCACTGTTGAATGCTATATGTCTAAATAAAAAAGGTTCTTCTTTGTGAGGATTTACTCGTCATTTTCTGAGGATTTACAAGATTGAGCATATTACCTAATAGATTGTCTGCATATTTCAAAAGTGATAATTCGCACTATTTCTAATCAGCAAGAAAATATATGCCCATTTATCTAGTTACCTCTCCCCCTCGAAGATGTAGGATCCGTATTTATGCGAAAAAGGGTTAGGGGGTTATTGCCTTCCCGTCAGAAAATGTAAGCCCCCTTTCTCCTGAAAAAGGTATCCTCATGTCTTTTCTAAAAACGGGGTTTGTTCAATCGGGACTCAATTGATGTACAAGACTGAATTTAATCCCCACCCTACCAAGTTTCGAGCGGTCAAAAATTACCCACCATCAAACCTCGAGGTGTCAGTCCCTTACTTGGAAATTTTGATGCAACCCACATTTCGTATACAAGATATACTAAAAATCGTTTTGATTTCATTATTTGAAAATAGAATTGATTGAATTAGCCATTACCAACGATAAAGTGCAAAAAATTTCAACACAGATAGTGCAGACATCTCGTCTTAAAAATCAATTCGAAGGCAGTGTATTCTAGGCTGAGGGTTGAAAAGAAATGAATTTATTCTTCGCGTTAAAGCGTGGGTAGTTCCCTAGAAAGAGTTGTTTTCTTGAAAATATTTGCAATTGCAGCATTTTCGTGGCTTTGAAACTCAAACAATGTTTTCTAGTTTAATGTGTAGCTCTTTATGACCTTCCAATGTATATAGGACGGTAAGAACTAAATCAACCATTTTTTCGTTTTTCAACTTTGAATTTAGCTTAGAGTTTGATGTTTTTATTTTTAAGATTATTACCATACTAACAAAAAGAGAGGTGTTTGGCTATAATCAGACGCTCTTGCTAAATCAAAAAGCATCTGTCTTTTATAAAGATTGTTTCCAAATTATATGTACATCTACTAGCCTGTGTTTACAAAAGAGTTTTGCGTTCTGTTTATGGAACCCAGTGAACAAATCATCAACATATCTCATCTACTGCGCGATTAAAAGATTTACAGTCTTGTGGTCAATGGTCCTATTGCGCCTTGTCAATTGGCTGAATGTCGAACTGCTGATGCGTTGCGATCACGAATGGCTGTCCAAGGACAGGCTTTGTTTTCTTTGTTTGTCGAAGTAAATCCGGCTCTGTGCATGACAGGTACTCTTCGCAGCTTTGAACATTACCTCATGCTTCGTGCTCAAAGCATACCCGAAAACTCGTGCAGCTAACCTCAGTTCCCTATAACTGCACGAAATCCTTGAATTAGGCCAATGACCTGACAAGCATATGCCCTGGACTTATCTTCATTGCTTTGCATTAACACCGTGGAAGGACATTGATGTTGTGGTAGCCGGCTTGCTGGTTCTCAAGGCTTCACCTCATGCTCCATAGAGTTGCCAAAAGTCATCAGGTTTGACCACTTGACTGCATCTGTTTACACCTTTGCTTAGGCCATAAGCCTTGCTCGACAAACTCCACAATGGCTTAGTGCATTGGCTGTGAGTAGTTTAGCTTAGAAGACAAGTAGCTATACCCAACAAAATGCTAGCCGCGAATTCGCAGCTGGAAATAGGTGCTAAAATCTTTTTTGTTAACTTCCTCATCTAGCTCAATTTCGATGTTTTCATCATAAAAAGTGGTATTGTCCGTACAAATAGCTTTAGATTTCAAAAAACTAAACCGTATACATGTGCATTAAGTCTCTAAAATGCTTGTTCTTTAGGCTTTGTTTTTCTGCAGTATTTTGCGGTCATATCTTGAAATGCAATCATGATTGCTGCTATAAACAAAAATTTCATTTTAATCTTTGAACGCCTAGCACAATGTTATCTTTTCTAGCTCTTTACTGCTCATAGATTGAGCTCTTGACTCGAGGCCAGTGCATTCATTTGATATCTCCGGGGTCTTAGCGAATCATTTTTGCAACAATGTCCATATATCTGCAGCCAAATTTCAATCCCACCATATCATTTAGCTAGAAAACGGCATTATTTATAGCTTCAACAAGCATCCGAGAAAAGCAAGACTGCTTTTAGTAAATCAATTCTATTAGATATCCCAACTTGCTTTGCAATATCTGTTAATCCTATATAGGCATTAATGTATAGGCGTATTGGCAATATACGTAGTTTATCTCCAAAAGCCTCCTTGCTTTTCTGTTCTCATTCACTAGGGAAACTGGTATGAAAGTAGGGATAGGTCATTTTTGGGCGTATAATCAGATGTAGTGTTTTTCAGTGATGTGCTTGGCATCTGTCACAAGTTTTTTGTTATATACTATAAGGTTTGTTTTGGGGAAAGTGGAATTAGATAGACGAGAGTTGGCCACTGGACTCTATAGCTCTATTTCCCTTGATTTCGGGAGTGGGCCTAATGCGCCAATAGGAACCACTTTATTCCGGCCCTGAAAGCGAGAAACAATCCGAGAAATCTTAAGGTCGCTACTCGTCTTTTCAGTATATTAAACTTTTAGTTCCGCTCAAACTGAAAAAATAGACACTTTTTTGTAAGAATATAGTTTCTAAGAATAATGAGGCTCAAAACTGCTTAACATTGAGGTTAAATTAAGAATAAATTAAGCATAGTAGCCCCATTTAATGTTCGCTAAGAGTGCAATTTTTGTTTATCTGAGTTTTTCGCATAGGTTTTAAACTTCACATAGCTTGCTTAACTATTAAATGACGTTACTTGAATTCTGAGCCAAATGTCAAATTTATGCAAAAAGAAACCCTTTATGTCATATGCAATGGTGTAAATTGCGAATAACTTAGGAATACACGTAGGCTCAATATCAAAAATATTTTATAAATGGTTTCTATAAGAGGTTTTCTTATACCACGAAAGTCTGTACTCGGTAGCTTAAGTGTTCTAACCTTCCGGAACAGTGGGTCACTTCATTCGAATAACGACCCAAGCCGTTTGTTTTTTAATGGAATCTCAAAAATGAAACCTGCAAAATACCGTTTGCTTACGATTACCTGCAATAGGTAAACTTTTTTTTGAAAATGAGCTGGTTTACCTAAAAGACGCATGATGTAAAAATGCCTTAAAACCTATAATCAAACATGATGACCACATTTTGATTGATGATTGATTGAATGATTGACTGACTGACTGATTGATTGATTGTAATGATTGATGTCCGTGCAAAAACAGAAATCAAACTCCAGTGCCGTTGCCATTGCTCGAGGCTCTCGTCTTTCACTGGGCGATTAAATTTATTCCGTTCTTCTAAACAGGTTCTCAGCTCCAAACTCTCGCTAATCTTCAGCTATTGCTACTTTTTCATCAAAGTCATCAGAAACAATTCATAGCCATTCTATTCATCATGGCTTGTTTTGTAATCTTGTGTATTATGTTAGTGTTGTTGTTGCTCTTTATAGGGAAAAGAAAATGCTCCAGGAGATGGCGACTTTTCAAGAAAGGGGCCGATGATAAACGGTGTAAGGAGAACCTTAGCAAACCAGCCACAGCCCGCAGCAGAACCCATAGAGGCCTTACAAACGAAGCGCAGTGATCAGAAGAGTGTTATATCAAAGGCCCCCGGAAACACGAAGTCAAAAACAGATGGTATAATTACACATTAGTTCATATATCTTATCAACCAATTTTTGTTAGGGGGGGGGGGATTACGACGAGGTCAAAACTCTCTGATCATCACATCCCTGTTCTTACAATCTAAGAGCATGCGCAATAATGACGAAGTCTGATGCGCAAGAGATTTTGAATAAGTGTCCTGGGATCAATGTCAAAATTTTGAATAATCGCCCCGGAATTAACGTCAAAATTTTGAATAAGTGCCCTGGAATTAATGTCAAAATTTTTAATAAGTTATCCGGGGTCAATGTCAAAATTTTGAATAATCGCCCCGGGATTAACGTCAAAATTTTGAATAAGTGCCCTGGAATTAATGTCAAAATTTTTAATAAGTTATCCGGGGTCAATGTCAAAATTTTGAATAATCGCCCCGGGATTAACGTCAAAATTTTGAATAAGTGCCCTGGAATTAATGTCAAAATTTTTAATAAGTTATCCGGGGTCAATGTCAAAATTTTGAATAATCGCCCCGGGATTAATGTCAAAATTTTTAATAAGTGCCCTGGAATTGATGTCAAAATTTTTAATAAGTTCTCCGGGGTCAATGTCAAAATTTTGAATAATCGCCCCGGAATTAACGTCAAAATTTTGAACAAGTCAAAATTTTGAATAAGTTACCAGAGCATTTATTTTATGATTTACCGGATTTATTAGAGCTTGTGGGTTTTGTGGATGTTGATAATCCTTCAATGTTATCACTATTATAAACATTTAAGAGGAAAGACTGCCTAAAACGTTCCAAAATAACTTCATCACCGACAAGGAATCATATAAATATGAGGCAAAACAAAAGCTAAACTACAAAATAGTCCAATTCAATAAAAAGCGGCGAAGCTATACTTTGCAAATATCCGGAGCACGAATGTTGAATAAAACTTAACCGTTTTAAATATATTCCAGTTTATAAAACATTTACTAAGCAAGAAAAACTTGATTTTCTTTCCAACTACAAAATTCTAACATTTTAGTTACTGCTTTACTATATTTTTTCGATATATTTTTTTCTTGGATGTCTAGTTGAATAACATTTAAAGCCTTTATTACGTGGGCTAAACTAGGTAAGCCCTGCTTCATCTGGGTTGCTCATAATACGTATTTTTATCATCATTACTGATACCTGAATTGAATTGAATTGAATTGAATTGAATTGAAGGTAAGATAAACTTCAAATACCTTTTAGCTCATTCTTGTTAAGCAATTTGAATTTTGCTGAAAGGCCTCCCATTGTGTACCATAGAAAGTTCCTGTTGAATATATAGAAAGTATAGGCCTTAAAAGTTGACAGTATCATTCATCCTTTTATTTAGTATTTTTATGCACAAATAAAGCTATTT